GGTTGCCCTATCGTGCTGGCTTGCCTGTGTCCGACCGCCATTTAGCCTTGTTTAAACTCCGTCAGAGTCTGTAGGGCAACAGTTGTGTGTTGTTTCGGTTTTCGAAGTGGGAGGAAGGGACAAATGAAGCACTATTCACTGCAGTTGCAGCACGTTTCTGACTGTACTCGTGGCAACAATTGTAGCCATCAAAAAGAAGTTGGCGCGATCGCTGGCACAAGAATTTAATTCGCCTGACGTTTCGGATTCCTCGGAGCCATAATCAGAGACAGTAACAGGAATGCCTGTCATATGTAATTTGTGACCTTTCTGTTAGAACCCTATATATTTTAATTCGACGAGGAAAAAAACGGTAGGTGTCAGGCCGTTAGCATATGCCAGAATTCTTCACTTTTCCGGCTTTGCTGGGTTTACAGTGACACAGTGCGCAACGACTCGCTTCTATTCATCGTCTTGTAAAATCCTCTACCACAGCAGTGTATTGTGTGGGAACGCAAGCCAAACCTAATCCCTTCGATCAAGGATGCTTACTGCAGATTATGCATGCTAATCAACATGACCACCAAATCAGCATGATTCTGCCCATTGTGGGTGTCTGTCGAGAGGATAATAGACCTACCGGAAAAGATCATCGCCGCCACACCGCTGCTCGAGTTGTTGTCCACAGTAGTCGCTTCCAATCAGTGGTTACTCTGTCCGGCATTCAGCGAGGTTGCATTCTGACTCTTGTCCTTCGGCTGGACTCTCGACGGGGGTTTCACGTGGTTTTGGCGGTGTTGAACTTACATTCGGAACCGAACGTCCTTACTTGTACTTTTTGCGGCTGTGATCTAGCCGGCCTCGATGATGTCCCTTACGGCGCTTCTCCAAGCGTGACGATCCATAGCAGCGGACCTGGACAGTTCGAGCCATTGTCTTCGCCAGCGCCGGAGACCGAATACCGAAGGTGCAAGAACCACTTCCATGTCCTGACGGACTGTGTCGAGCCGGACTTTGAGCTGACCCCCACTTCGACGTTTCCAATTGAGGTTGATCCGAATCCTTCTTCTTATTGCCGGCATCGAGCCCAATCCGCAACCTGCACAAGGATCTGTCAGATGGTTCTGTTCCACCTGCGCCAAACAGATCTTCCCAAAGTTGAAAAAATTCCCATTAGATAATTCAGTACACAATTTTGGCAAGCGAACGCTTTCAGTAACTTCTCATCAGGCCAAACAGTTACAAAGGAGGTTTAAATTTAAAATCGATAGTTTGTCTTTCTTTACATGCGGGGTCCAATCAGAGCGCGGAAATGTGCAGCCAGTTAGGTAATCGTTGGCCATGCCAAGTTGGGGGCTTGCACCAGATTCTTTTGTGCCTGTGTCCTGTGTGTACCTTGCAACAACTGGCAACACTTCCGCTCAAGAGGCACTAATTGCTCTGATCTCACTTCCATCCATCAATACAGCGGCTCATCATACAGGTTCATAACCTGTCGTCATCCACGAAATATGCCTGCTCACACGCCTGTACGAGTGCTACCTCCACCTACCTCATCATCACCTCTTGGAAGTCGGCAATCAACCCAATTACCGCCATCTCTAATGTCATTGTCCACGACTCCAGCCTCGCAACTACCCTCACGGCCACCACCGCCTATGTTGCGGTCCTCCACAACTCGAGCTGTCTCACAACAGTCCTCAGTACCGCCGCCGCTTACATCGCTGACCTTCTCAAACGCCTCACCACTGTCTGACCTCAAAATACTACAGCTGAACTGTAATGGCCATTCTGAGAAAACAAATGAAATCATTAAACTCCTCCACGATCACGACATCAAAATAGCGGCTCTCCAAGAGACAAAGCTATCAGCAAAGTCGAAGGTTCCACGCTTCACGGCCATTGCCGTCGTTCGAAGAGATAGAGCTCGTAAT